CCATTTTATTAATGTTTAACATTTGAGTACCAACAATGTGACAGGTGCCACACAGAAGACAGAATTAGACACAGACCTGCCCAGAAAATCTGAAATCTAACAATAACCATAACAACAAACCACAACTAAACTGAACCATCCATTAGGTGTCCCATAAAGACCTGTCTCAAACAGCCTCTAAATATCTCTTTTCTTCTGCCACCATCATTGGATTATGGAATTACAGTTGTAAAGATCCTTTGAGACCATGTAGTCCGCCCCACCCCCACTAGTCAATGAAACTGAGGCCTAGAGAGGTTGGTTGACTTAACCAAATGTAATAAGTGATTGTGCCAGAATTCAAACCTAAATTCTGTGGCTCTAATCCAGTACCTCCTCTGCTTTCCTTCATTGGCTCCCATTTACTATGAGGATACAAAGCAGCAGATGTATGGGGAGGTAGGCCGTTTTCAAGTACCAGCACAGATGTAAAAGTAGAGGCTACAAGGGACCATAGTGATGACATAAACCAACCACCTCATTTTGCAAATGAGGAAACTGAGGCTTAGAGAGGAAAAGGAACGTGCAAAGTAGCATAGCAAGACACAGCCTCAACTAGAAACAGCTTTCTGACTCTCAGGTCACCATGATTTCTGCTATGTGATCCTAACCAACCTGAATCTTTTCATGTGCAAAATTTAGGAAGGACCTGGCTCCTCAAAGGTTCCTCAAGGAACACTACCTGGCTGAGTTTTTTAAAAGTGAAATGAAATCACTGAAAAGTAATACCTTTAAACAAGGACACTTATTGTCTATGTTTGGCCTTGGAAAGGGGTGAGTTGGTATGGTGGAATTAAATGCAATTTAAGTTAGACTAGTTTTTCCTCAAAAGGTACTGAAACCATCCTTAAGACTCGATAGGCTCTATATTAGATTGCATGCCATCTTAGAGAGGGGGCAGCAGAGGGAGGGGAAAAATTAGAACTCAAAATCTTATAAAAGTGAATGTTGAAAACTAAAAGTAAATAATTAATTAAAAAATAATAATAAAGAAACAGCAGACCACAAAAAAAATACTTGATAGGCTCAGAGGGCTAAAGAACAAGGGTATTGATGCCACTTCCTGTTGTGGAGTGTACAAAACAGGTAGAATACCTCCAGGGCATTCCTTACAATTGACTAGTAGAAAACAATAAGTTACTTAGGCAAGGAAAGTTCACTGGGCCAAATCAACTTGGAAGAGTCTTCAATGGCTCCTGCTATGGTCAGTCAATCAGTCGATTAGTATTAATGAATCACCTATATATATGCCAGACATGTGCTCCATACTGGGGGTACAATGACTAAGAATAGCTAACTTATTTCACTCCATTATCTAACATAAACTACCTGGGGACTGGGCTTGAGACAAGCCTAAAAGAATGGAGGGAGAATGAGGACAGGAAGAAGGCATCTTTCATAACCGTATCAGTTAGTTCTTCCTGTGGTCACCCAGTTCCCACTTCAATTTGGTTTTGCACCTGCTTTCAGTTTAATGGGCAAAAGCCAGTGTTGGTATGTGGGAGTGAATTTACTAGCTTGGTACAGTGTAAAGAGGACTAGAATCAGAGAAGATATGGCTTCAAAATTCACCTCAGACATTTACTATCTATGTGACCTCTGGCAAGTTCTCATCAAAAAGATAAAGAAGTTAGATTAAATAAACTACTGAGGTCCCTTCCATCTCTAGATATAGGATCCCATGAGCCTACTACCCATATTTATGGCTTTGGGTGGGGAAAGGAGATTATGCTTAGTCTTCAGAGTCTTAGGAGGCACTCTAAACCTCCTAAGGAACGGCAGAATGGTGACTGGCCCCTCTATTTTTGTGAAGTAGTGTTTCCTTTAGGAGAATATAAGCTCCTTGAGGGTAGGGACTGTCATTCGTTTTGTCTTTATAGAGCCTTGCATGTCATAGGTTTTTTATAATTTTTTTTTTTTTGCTTTTCTTCACTAGAAAACATTGTATTCAGTTGAAAGTAGGGAAAGGAATGGTATTCATTTAAAGAGATACAAAGTGTTAGACCATTCCAGAGAGATTAAAAAGAAAAGAAACTGGATAGTTATAAAAAAGGCATGACTAAAAAGCAGGATCTTTGTTTTAATTTTCCAAAAATCCTAAATTCATAATCTTCAGGATGCCACTGAGGAATTAAAACAGGTCTGAAGTCTTCAAATTTTGGAGTTTAGGAAAGTGGTTCTAATGAAAAGGAAACCATATCCCAGTGGCTGACATTGTAATTACATTAAACCTATGCCTCTACTCACTTTAAAAAAAAAGTTATATTGATGTGTTTTGTTTTTACACTGTAATTGTATAGATTACTCTCACTTTTCTTATAACAAAGTATGAGGCAGTTAAGTAAAACTAATAATACAATGACCTTATCTTAAAGTGCATGCAACATTTCATATATCTAACATACACACCCCTCACTTTTACAACTTTATTCCCAAAATGTCATGATCATTTTATTCCTTTAGTTTGTAATTGGATTTGTAGTTGAAATGCTGGATCAGTGGAGAGATCAGCCCTCTATTCCTTACCCATGAGAAGCATTGGTGTTGACATTTCTAAACCAAAACTCATCCAGGCAGAAATTATTAAACCTCTGATTAACTTGTCATATCCTTCTATTGTTGCTATTTTTTCCTTTTAAAAATATATATATCAATGTGTATATATATATTTATAGATACATATGTGCATACATATATAGTAACCTACGGGACAAAGTCAATATCAAACTGAAAGCTCTAAGTAAAAACTTGGGAAAGGAGCTTCAGAAAGGGCATATGGATTTGTTAGAGTTGAGGCAAAGTCTGATGGAACTGCTTTGCTTTAAGTCTAGACATATACTTGGATATACATATCCCAATCCAAATGTTACCAGACAGACACAAAGCCAAATCAATTATATCCCCACTGCATCTGGTAATCTTTCAAAGACAACTAACAGGGGCAGCTAAGTGGTACGGTGGATAGAACACTGGCCCTGGAGTCAGGAGGACCTGAGTTCAAATCCAGCCTCAGATACTTGACACTTACAAGCTGTGTGACCCTAGGCAAGTCACTTAACCCTGTTGCCTAGCCAAAAACAAAACCAAACAAAAGACAACTAATACAAGGAAAGAGAATCCCAAGTTAGAACATACTGCCAACAGCAAAGGTAGCCTAAGCACACCCAACTCTGCCACATGAGAAGCTGTGGCTTGGCTTTATAGGTGATTAAAGGTTATTATAAACAACTGAAATTACATCCATAGGCAAATTGTTATCCAGTGCTGAGATTTGCAAAGGGCAAATCAAGAAAAAGTAACTTAATTCTCTGCAAAACCTTAGCATCCAGGTGGTATTCAAGGGTAAATGTCAGTGGGGGTCATTACAGTTGTCTAATCTAGAAGTATCAAAATCACACAAGGTCATTGGAGAGAAGAATGCTTGGCCAGCTGTCATTTGAAATGTCAATATCAACATCTTCTGAAAGCAATGCTTATTATTTAATATTTTTAAGCTCCTAGAACAGTGCAAAGCACCATCTGTACATAAAGACCAAGTGGGGAAGTATGTGTCAAGCTTACAAATCTAAATTAGCCCAAACGAGGCAAAGAAGGACACAGGGAACAACTTCTGGAGAAATGTTGAAAATCAGCAAGTGAACAGCAAAGCAGAGTTGCTGTGTCAGTGGCTTATAGAAGGCCTACTTATCAGATTCATGGGTAGGATGGGAACAGCCAGGGATTTGTCCTGTAGCGCCAAGTTCATAGGGCACAAAATTTAAAAGATACTGATATCATTTGCAGTTGTTCAGCAGTATAAGAACAGAACTTAGCATCTAATTAGAAAGAATGTTGTTGTAGCTCAGTCATATCTGACTCTCTGTGACCCCCACTTGGGGTTTTCTTAGTTTGCCATTTCCTTCTGCAGCTCATTTTGTAGATGAGGAAACTGAGGCAAATGGTGTTAAATGACTTGTCCTGGGTCATAGAGCTAGCAAATGTCTGAGGCCAAATTTTAGCTCAGGTCTTCCTGACTTCATGCCTGGCACTCTATCCACTGTGCCACCTGGTTGCTCAGCTATAAAATAAAAAATTAGTTTAAATAGGGAGCTACCTAACAAGTAACTTATGTTCCCCCCCCCAACTAAAAGATGGTTCCTTCCTCCTATCCTTGCCAACAGAGAGCCTGTTTCCCGCCATTTGCCCCGCCCTCCCCCCCCAGAGGTAGATGCTCCTTATCATTTTAAGGAAGACTGCATTTATTCCTATGCTCTCTTTAATAGGAATGGGTGTTGTATTGTGCCAAAAACTTTTTCTGCATCTATTGAGATAGTCATGTGCTTTCTCTTAGTTTTGTTGTTGATATGATCAATTACGCTGATAGTTTTCCTAATATTGAACTAACCCTGCATTCCTGGTATAAATCCTACCTGATCATAATGTATTATTCTCATGATAAGTTGCTGTAATCTATTTGCTAATATGTTATTTAAAATTTTTGCATTTATATTCTTTAGGGAAATTGATCTATAATTTTCTTTCTCTGTTTTGACTGTTCCAGGTTTAGGTATCAGTACCATATTTGTATCATAGAAAGAATTTGGTAAGACTCCTTCTTCACCTATTTTCCCAAATAGTCTATATAGTATTGGAATTAATTGTTCTTTAAATGTTTGATTTTTTTCCTAGGGAGTTCATTGATGGCTTGTTTAATTTCTTTTTCTGAGATGGGGTTATTTAAGTATTTTACTTCCTCTTCTGTTAATCTGGGCAATTTATATTTTTGTAAATGTTCATCCATTTCACTAAGATTGTCAAATTTATTGGCATACAGTTGGGCAAAATAGTTCCTAATGACTGTTTTAATTTCCTCTTCATTGTGGTGAATTCACCCTTTTCATAATTTTCTCATTTCATCCTCACAACAACTTTGTAAGGGAGTCAGTATTATTATTTCCATTTTACAGATGAGGAAATTAAAGCTGAGAAAGGTTAGGTCAACATGCTCATAGCTATAAATACCTTGATCAATATTTGAACTCAGATCTTCTGGACTTGGACAAGCCCAGCACTCCATGAAGTATACCACCTAGCTGCCTCTAAAAAAAAATCTCTGTGAAAGAATGCAAATTGAAAAGAAGCAAAACCAGAAGGAAAGAGTACATACCATGACATAGAAGAGAACAATATAATGAAAAGGAATGGACAAAGAATCTTGATGGAGGCTGAGACAATATGGGTATGTATGTATGTATGTGTGTATATGCACATACACACATTATGCCTTGAAGTTAATCGAGTTAAATACAGTTACTAATCAAGTTTAGATGTCTTTGTTGGTGTTTACTCTTTTTTCTACTCAAATATTTAATTAAAAAAGAAAACGAGTACCTATAAAACATGGAGAAGACAATAATTCACATTTATATAGTGCTTTCTTCACAATAGCTCTCATTCCAGTGTTAGGAATTTTTACTCTCAGAATAACATGGAAGTGGGGGGAAGGAAGAAGACATCTTTTTGAAGCTAGGTAATATATTATCCCCATTTGACAGATGAAAAAACATGCTCAGTAAGGCTAAGTGACTTGTCTATGACCATATACTCAATAATGGAAATGAAGGACCATAGTTGAGAAGTAGCTTAGAAGAAAAGAGGTAAATAAACAGTCTGAGTAATTTGTAGGTAGGTGCTGATTCTTCATGGACTTTTTTAGTCTTTCCTTTCACAACATTGTGCATAACACCCAAAAGGAACATTTCTAATAGAAAGTACGAGGAAGCCAAACTCAGTTCATCCTTTATGCTTATCTAACATACAATGGATAACTCTGTGGCCTACTTAGAATCAAGGATTAGAGAAGATACTAGAACTAATAAGACGAAGGTCAAAGATCACTATGACAATCATCAGTGTTCCATAGCTATAGACTACACTCTTGCTCAGGTGCTTCACAGACTTATGATATTGATAAAATAAGGGTAGTTCAAATGCTTGTGTTATTTGTGGTGAAATCAGTAGCATTATTTTCATAAACAAAGGTAATTCACAAGCACAAAGGGCCTACAATATTTGTGCTGACCCTCAAAGACTCTGGGATAGGAATTAGGGGCAAGTTGTATTTCCTCATAAAAAATAAAGTTGACATATAAAGTTTTGAACTTGTGGAAATTATAACAGGAGATTAGTTTACTTCAAAGTATGTAATTTTCAAGTTGGCATATATGCATCTTGCCAATAGTAGATGGTAGCACATATTGGTAAAATCTGATACTTCAACACAGCTTTATTATAATCCTTACCAATAAAATTGTAGAGGTTCTAATTATTAGTAGTAGAGTCTTAGAAAATTAAGAACTTAGCTGTGTGACCCTGGGCAAGTCACTTAACTCCATTGCCTAACAACAACAAAAAAACCATGGGGCAACTAGGTGGCCCAGTGGTTAGGGCACTGGCCCTAGAGTCAGGAGGACCTGAGTTCAAATCCAGCCCCAGACACTTGATACCTATTAGCTGTGTGACGCTGGGCAAGTCACTTAACCCCATTGCCTAGTCAAAAAAAAAAAAAGAAAGAAAGAAAATTAAGAATTTTGAAGCATTCCATTGACCACATGTCCAGTGTTACAGGCCAGAATCATGAAGAAAATCATTATCAGGAAGATGCTGCAAATGTCTGAATGCTGCAAAGGAAAAGTGAATTGCCAAGTGGAGAGAAGACTCCAGAAAAGCATACTGCTAACATCCTACACTAACAAGGCTGGCTATTCTCATAGCTCCTCCCAAAACAAGGTTTTTAAATCTTCTGCCAAGGCCAAAGAGAAAATATCTTTGATTTTTTAGAAGAAATTAGTGGGAAAATATTGTTCCTTGTACAGGCATTTTATTTGTACACAAGTTTGCTGGAGGATATTTTCCATAATGTAAGGGAGTATTATCCACATAGGAATTACGGCGCTGCGTTGCTTCTTATGAAAATATTAAGTCAAAATAAATAAGTAATAAAAGAATGTGAATAGTTTTCAAAAGAAGTGCAGCCATCTACAACCATGCAAAAGAATGCTCCAAATCACTAATAATGATAGAACATAATATACAATACAATGATAATAATATAAATGAAAATTAAAACATTACATCCATCAAAGTGACAAAGATGATAAAATATGGAAATAATATTTGGAGGGGCAGCGGAAAGACCCCCACGACTATACATTGAAGCGGAACTGTGAATTCGTCCAAACATTTCTCTTCTTCAAGAGAACAGCTTGGAAATATGATGAAAGAAATGTTCCTAAACTGTTCATACTTTTTGACCCAGCCATACCAGCACAAGGGCAGCTACAAGTGTAGTAGAATTTCAGTCAAGTTTCAGTCAAGCTTGTAAGAGGACCTAGAACAAGCACATTTCTTTGTCATTTGATAACCATAAATTTGTTGGGTTTCTCATCGTTAGATGCTGAGTTTTTGGCAAAGTTCTAGTTCTTATCTTGTGTGCTTATTTGATTATTTGTATTGTTCATAGTTATTTAGTTTCCAATAAAGCATTTTAAAAAATAGCAAGGTTCTGATGATGCTGAAATACTAATTCATAGGGATTTTGCATATACAAGAAGTTACACCTCCAAAAATGTGTAATAAAATTAAGTTAATCAGTAGACTCTGATGACATTGTACTCAAAGTCAATATTCACAGCTGGACACACATTATCTTCCTGGTAACATTTTAGACTGATTTGATTAGTATCCCTTCATTCTTAAAAGATAAGAATGACAATTGAGATACTCTTTATGTCCTGTTTCAGCCCTAGTTATCGAAAGCAGTGAAATTCAGATTTTCAAGTGGCTTCTTTGAGAAATCCACTGTGATACATCTTTTCTTCAACCCAGTATCAGTCAAGGCACAGTGAATTTCAGGGTTACAAGTTGCTTGACTGGGGAGAATACAAGGAGCCATCTTCAGCCTAATGAAGCTACAAGTATACATGGGGAAAAAAATGAAGGGAAAACTATAGCTCCTCCAGGTCAAGCAGCTGCTGCAAGTGAAGTCTTAGACTTAATCTGATGAACTGGCCAAATCTTAATTTCTCTATCAGAGAACAGAAGGGAAAGGTCAAAAGGAAAAGGAAAGGAAAGAATATTCTTTGAGCCTTTGATGGATGCCTATTTACCCTATCCACTCTATGGAAGTGCTGCTATAGACCTCTCCATTATGCCTGTAAGTACCTTCTCCTTCCCTTTCCTTCTCCCTCTTCACCCACCTCGGCCTATCCCTGCTTTTGAGCTTCTTTTCCCTGTCAGAATGTAAAATCTTTGAAGCCGGGGTTGTCTTTATTTTCATTTGTATTTGAATCCCCAGGGCTTAGCCCTGGGTCTGGCACAAAGTAGGTGCTTATAAATTTTCATTGACTGACATGCAAAATAGCTACTAACCTAAATATTTCAAATATGTCCACAATTATTTAATCTTTCTTCTTTTAAGGCCTAGCTCTGAAGGAGAGATGAGAAAATGTATTTCCTTCCATTTTTGCAGAAATTGATGTGGAATTCTTCATATATCCATACAAGCATAGACTTAGAGCTGCAAGCAACTTCAGGTATCATCTAGTTCAGCCTCTAATTTTGCAATATGGAAACTGAGCCCAGGAGAATGAATGACTTAGCCAAGGTCATACTGTATATATATGGAGAGAGAGAAGAGGGGAGAGGACACCAGTGCTCTTTCAGCACAGCTCTCAGATTTGGTTAACATATTCGTTGCTTTTGCTAAATTGCTTCTCTCCTCTCTCTCTCTGTCTCTGTGTCTCTGTCTCTCTCTGTCTCTCTGTCTCTGTCTCTCTGTCTTTCTCTGTCCCTCTCTCTGTCTCTGTCTCTCTCTGTCTCCCTCTCTGTCTCTCTGTCTCTGTCTCTCTCTCTGTGTCTCTGTCTCTGTCTGTCTCTCTCTCTCTCTCTCTCTCTCTCTCTCTCTCTCTCTCTCTCTCGATTCCCCCTCTTGCTCCTCCCTCTCTTTCTCTCATATAGAGGAGATCCCATTGGAGCATATGCTTTGGTTCTAAGGGGGACTGAAAAGAGATTTCAGCCTCTTGTCAAGGATGCCAAATTCCATATGCCAGAACAGATGTTGTGTCAAAGAGGATTGGACATTGAGCCAGGAGCAGTGGCTCACTCAGTAAAACTTTAGAGTGATGCTACTCTCATAGCTGCTCCCACCTGGCAGTAAGTACATATACAGCATAGGACCTGGCCCATGGGCTCCTGGCTACCTCTGGTGTTTTGTATTTCTTCCCCTGAAGACACTGTGAAATGATTAGGGGACAGGGGGTAAAGTTCTGGATTTAGAATCAGAAGACCTGAATTTGAATCCCAGCTGTGTTATTACAGTTACTACCTGTGTGACATTAGATAACCCTTTTGGGGCATAAGTTCCTCATTTGTAAAATGAAGGGATTGAACTAGCTAATCTCCAAGGTCTCTTCTAGTTTTAAGTCTGAGAATTTAGGCAGCACTGGACTTGGAGTCAGGAAGACCTGAGTTCAAATCCAGCTGCAGATAATTATAGCTGCATAACCCTGGGCAAAGAATCTGACTCCTCTATTTGGGTGCCTGGTTCCCCTAAGGGTCATCCCAATGAGCCTAGGCTAGCAGTTCTCTTTTATGGAAATTCTTTGTTATGTGGCTGGCTCTCTGAGGAGGGAAGAGAGAAGGCATATAGTTAAGAAATCAAGGTGATGTGAAAAAAAAATCAATGGAAAAATGAAGTATACTGGTTAGCAAAGTGATCTACCTTGATGCTTTACTGATTAATGAAATGTGGAGAATTACCTGATTGATGTGTATACACCCCAATTGAAAAGTTCTTAATAAACAAAGCAATAATAAATTTAAAGGCATTTAACAAATTTTTTTTAATATATAGATGAATGCATGTACACTGAGTTGTCCACGAGCTGGTTTCTTAAAGTTAGATCACTATGCCGACTACTCATCTGGCTATTACTGGGATGTCATTAGCAGGCTTGGGTTACCTCAGAGAGGACTAAGTCATCTGCTTCATGACTATCACTTTTTGTACTTTTAAAGGCACATAGAGCAAAGAGCAAACCACCATCTCTAGAAACTCTGCCAAGCAACCTGGTATCATGAGGATTTTCAATGCTTGTCCACTGCAGATTGTCCAACCTTGGCTCTTATCCCTATAAGACTATTTTGAATTTTGGATTAAAGTAAAGTAGAAAAGTCAGAACCATTGTCCAAAGTTGCAGTCAGAGGGAGGAGTCTATCTGCTGAGAGAGCTATTGGTCAATCAATCAACAAGTATTTGTTAAATGCTATGCACCCTAGGTATCGGGGATAAAAGTATAGAAAATGAAATAACCCCTACTCACAATGAGTTTACATTCAAATGGGTAAGACAAGCACAGCAATACGAAGTTAATGAATACAAATCTATACAAAGTATGCTATACATATTTTGTGAAGGCATTCTTGATGAATACAAATAAATACAAAACTTAAGTACAAAGTAGTTTAGGAGAGAGGGCATTTAGCATTTGGGTGATTAGGAAAGGTTTCGTGCAGAAGATTGTGCCTGAGCTCCACTTTAAAAAAAAGAGAGGGCTTCTGTGTGGCAGAGGTAAGGAGGGAGTGTATTCCAGGTAAGAAGGCTGGGCACAATGATGAGAGATAGGGGGTTGTGTGAAAGGAACAGAAAGGCAAATTTGTTCAATTTCAAAGTACTGGAACAAGAATAATGTCCAGTGATGCTGGAAATATATGTTGGGGTCAGGTTGTATAAGGATTTAAAAGCTAAACAAAGAAGTTCATATTTGATCCCAGCCACAATAAAAAGCTACTGGAATTGGTTGAGTAAGGGACTCACATAGTCGGTTCCTCACTTAAAGAAATTTACTTTGCCAGCAGTGTATAGAATAGACTAGAGTAGAGAGGAATTTAAGACAGGGAAACAGATTAGGGAGCTGTTGCAATTATCCAGGCAAAGTGACGAAGGCCTGAACTGAGGTGATAGCTCTATAAGTGGAGAGAAGAGTTTGTGAAATGCAAGAGATATGATGAAGGTAGAAATAGCAAGATTTGACAACTGATTGGCTATGTGGGGTAAGGGAGAGTGAGGAGTACAGAATAACACTGAAACTATGAAGTATACACAGGAAGGGGAAGTTTGGAATAGGTCACAGTTTAAGGAGGAATGATAATGGGTTTAATTTTAGACATGTTGAATTTAAGATATCTCTGACATCTAGTTTGAAATGTCTAATAGGCAATTGGTAACACGGAATTGAAGCTCAGGGGAGAGATGGGAACTGAATGAACTGATGTGGAAGTCCGTCATTTGGCTAAGGAAAGGATGGATCAGAAAAAATAGTTTGGCGGGGGGTATTTGAACCAATGGTGGCTTGCATGTAAGAAGGTCATAAATATAAATTTAGGAGATGGACCAGTCATATAATAAGTTTAAGGGATAACAAGAAGAAGGTGTAAGTATTATTTTGCTATGTAGCTAATGTTAGAAGAGCTAGAAGAAAGTTTTGAGGACATTGGATGAAGATCCATAGAATATTTATGAGAAAAGAATAAAAAAATCCTCACAGAATGAGAAGGTGTTGGCGAAAGCGCCCCAACTCATAGAAGTATTGATATTGACCCAACTAGGAATGGTTTGATTCTGAGGAGACAAAATAAGATGCAATGAATGTGAAGTGACTCATTCCTTTCAATCTCTGTCCAAGCTCCTTCTCCTCCATTACTGGAGAATGTAGAGATTGTAGCCCAACTGGTTGGACAGGTAATTTCATCCAAGGGCCAGACTAAGTTTAAATACATGCTGCTGTTTTAGGCTAAATGGTGTTTCTTTCTTTGGAATGAAAGATTGTCCTTTAAAATACATAAGGTGTAACACCATCCTGATCTTAACACCTTTTGATGAAGATCTCATCAAATGGAGTTAATTACATAGAATTCCTGGCCATTCTATGAGCCCTAGGGTTGCAGGGGTTTCATACCTACAACAGCTTTGCTCAACGGTGCCCTACATATCCCCAAACACAAACCCCAGGATTTTTACAAACCTGTAGAAAAGGAATGAGTATTATTTAACATTCTTAATTTGTCTCCTCCAAGAATTAATTAATGTAATTTTGCCCCTCTTCTAATTATACCCTCCATTTCATATATTAAAAAAAATTATTCTTTCTTTGCACTTTCATATTCTCTGATCATTTCAAACAGAAGTACACACAAAATGCCATTCTTGTTTCTCAGCCAAGCAGTCTTTAGTGATTTTAATCTCTTCTCATAAATCAAAATACCCTGTGTATTTTGTTACTTTCACACATAGCTCTGTAGTTATGGTGGAGTATGCTGTCCCCTGTGGTTCTAGGAACACTTAAACAGTAATGGAAATTACAATGTGCTCTGGAGGAATCTATGAAAATATTAATTAAAATCAACTGCATCTTGCTCTACTTCTTAAAGTTTCTTGAGAATTGAGGTGGAGGGTTCAGAGTGGCAAAAGTGACATGTTTTCAAATGATGACAACTTCTTCAATCCCAGTCTTTTAAACAAGCACTAATAATCCTTTCCAGAGAGCTGGGTTCTGCTAGAGCATTGCATTTTCCCTTCAAAAATCAAACAGCAATTTATACTTAGATACACAAGGGACTCTGCTGAATTAATGAGATATGAAGGAAATAAGCCAATCATCCGACAATCTGAAAAATCTGCAGTGTGTTTTGTCCCAAGACAGGGGATATTCATAGTTTTCCCTTGGTGTGCACACATAATGTACGTTAACTCTGATGGGAGTTAAGCACACAATTTAAAGGACAAAATTGCACCATTTTGAGTTTAACTATCTCCCTAATGATTAATAAACATAAAAAAACTACATTTAAATAACATTGAAGTTGTGATACAAGCTACCAAGAGCAAAGAAATTCAACTTCAGTGGTGCTGATAAATATATCATATGTAAGGGGAATGTGGGTAAATAGCCCAAAATGTTAATTTTGGAACTATTGATCATTATATTTGTAGCCTGAGGTGTCTTTGCTTCAATTTCTACTTCTTATTCATTTAATTAAATTTAATAAACTGTAATGGAAAAATGCAATTTACCCTAGTATCTCCACATTATTTATTTAATGATAATATGCCAGGTTTTTTTTAGCCTTATCACTTGATTACATTTCTCATTCTAGCTTGCAGGTCCTGATTCCATGCATTTTTTCCCAATCTTATCTTTAGTCAAGTAACTTACCTTCCCTAGGACCACAGGGAGTAGGGAAAGTGACTTAAAGTAAAATTGTACCCAGCTTTCCAGATTCCTCCCCTGCTTGCTTTTGTCTATCAGGACAAAGGGATATGTAGCTAGTGAGGGCTAGCTACTATGCAAAGAGTACTAAGTCTGGTATCAGAACATCAGGTTAAAATCCTGCTCATTACTGCTGCTTGCTACTCATAAGATGTTTAAACCAGCACTTAGCAAGGTGCTGGCACATGTCACTGGGTCTCCTTTCCTTAAATGTAAAATGAAAGGGTTGACCTAGATACCCTCTGAGGGCCTTTCTTGATCTAAATCTATGATCCTCTGGTTTTCAAGGAATCTCTCCAGGCCAAGCCAAAATAGCAAAGCAAGAGACATTTACTTAAAACAAAATGCAAGATAAATATGGGAGCAAGCATTCACATGCCACCTATTTCTGTCTCTCAAACCTTCTGGCTGTTTCTTTATCTCCTCTCCCCAATCCATTTCCCAACATGGCACTTAAATGGGATGAAAATGGGAAGGTGTTTATTGA